AATAGTTTCAAGGGAAAGTGAGCCCCCCTTGCTGTTAAGGGGATATATTATTGTCCTTATTCATGCACTCTGTCTATCCCTCTTGAATTTAATAGTTTCATAAAGATTGCATGTTCATTCTATGACCTCTGGCTTCACTTGAAACCTTCTCCAATGCTTTCATGTATCTACTCCTCTCATCCTAACTCTGTCTAAACCCCCATCATAAATGGTAAAGATGCTATATTTAAAAGGGTATTCACTTAAAACATATTTTGGGCTGCTTCTTGATTTTAATTTAATTCACATGGTTTAAAGGTGATAGATTAATGGCTAACACAAGTTGTCAATTTGAAAGTTGTGCTTCACCCAGTTATGCTGTTGATTGTATAAATTTGGATAAAGGATTGTGATTGATTTAATTAGTTGTTTTTTTCCCAATATTATGAAAATGAGAATGTGTATGAGTTATTAGAGACTCAAAAGCTAAAGTGCAACTACATCAGGAAGATTTAAGTATTAACCCAGAAATTAAACCAAGGACAACCCAACAACAAAAATACAACTGAGAAAATGCTTAAGCAAGACACAAAGACAGACTTTCTGTTCACTAAGAGCAAACAGTAGGGCAAAGGAGGATGAAAAGTCTGACAGTAAACTAGCAGGACACCCTGAACCCATAGCACAGGAAGGAACAAAACAGATCAGGCTGTAGAAAAACTCAAAACAGAAATGATTTCCCAGATAACCATAGAGATGGTGAGCAAAATGAAAGTTGTGAGTCCAGACTCTAGAACAGAAATTGAGAAAAAAATAGATGAGCTAAGGACCATGATAGAAGCCATGAAGGACCAGCATAAGAAAGAAATGGAAACAATGAAAGCCCAACAGAGGAAAGAAATGGAATCCATAAAACAGATTCAAACAGATATCCAAGAGATTAAATACTCTTTTGAAATTTTACACAACAGAATAAAAGATTGCTAAGATAGAATTTCAGATGTAGAAGATAGGATTGCATTCAGTGACCCTGAAAAGAGAGGTCTCTTAAAAACAGTAAGGGATCATGAGGAATTGATCCAACAACTCCTAGATGATGCAAAGAAGAATAACATAAGACTGATAGGATTCCATGAAGTAGCAGGAGAAAATACAAATGACCTAAAAAAGCTGTTCACAGAATTAATGACAGAAAACTTCCAAAACAGAGGGGAAGAATTTGACATTCAGATAAGTGAGGCATATAGGACACCAACTAGTCACAATAAAAAAAAAAATCTACACCTAGACATATAATAATCAAAATCCCAGAAACCCAATAGAATAACAAAATACTACATGCAGTAAGAGAAAAGAAACAAATCATATGCATAGGAAAGACCATCAGAATCACAGAAGACTTCAGCACAAACCCTCAGGTCAAGGAGAGCCTGGAGTGAGTTATTTCAAATCCTAAAAGAAAGCAACGTCCAACCTAGATTGATTTAACCTGCAAAATTCTCTTTCAGAATGGATGGGGAAATAAGATACTTCCATGACAAAAAACACCTGGAAATATTTATGAACAACAAATCAGCACTACAAGGAATTCTAAATAATATCCTAGAAAAAACACAATGAAGGTAACAACACCACTAGACCCAACAGACCAAATCAAATAGTCAAGGCAAGAAACTAAAAGAAGAGGGGGAAACAGTAAAAAAAGTCATCAAAAGGACAATAACAGGACAATAATAAGTCACTACATATCAGTTATAAGCATCAATGTCAATGGCCTCAATTCACCAATCAAGAGAAATAGACCGGCAGAATGGATAAAGAAGCAAAAATACAACAATATGTTGCATACAAGAAACACACTTAGTGCAAAAAGAAGCCCATAGACTGAAAGTGAAAGGATGGAAAACAACTCTGCACATGACAGGAGCCCAGAGAAACAAAGAAGGCCACTACATCCTTGTAAAGGGAACAATTCAAGAGGAAGAGATGACAATCATAAACATATATGCACTAAATATTAATGCCCCCAACTGTATAAAACAAATATTAAAGAACATGGAAAACAAAATAAGTAGTAATACAATTGTAGTGGGGGATCAAAATATCCCACTATCACAAATAGACATATCATCTAGGCAGAAAATCAACAATGAAATACTAGATTTCAACCAAGCCTTTGAATGCATGGACTTAATAGATGTCTATAGAGTATTCCACCCCACAAAATCAGAATATACATTCTTTTCAGCTGCACATGGGTCATTCTCCAAGATGGACCACCTATTAACTCACACATCAGATCTGAATTAATGCAAAAGAATCAAAGTTATCCCTTGTAAATTATTAGATCATAGTACATTCAAGCTGGAGATAAATAGCATAAGAAACATTAGGAACTTCACAAACACATGGAAATTGAACAACACTCTCCTGAACAATCAATGGATCATAGAGGAAATTAAAGAAATCAGACATTTTTACAAATAAATGAAAATGCCAATACAACATACAGGAATCTATGGGACACAATTAAAGCAGTTCTATGAGGAAAATTCATAGCACTGTGTCCACACTAGGAAAATAGAGCGAGCTCAAATAAACAACCTAATGATGAATCTTAGACTACTAGAAAAACAAGAGCAAGAAAAACCCAAATCCCAAACAAGAGAGGAAATTATAAAGATAAGAGCAAAAATCAATGCAATGGAAAGTAAGAAAATGATACAAAAACAATAAATGAATCAAAGAGCTGGTTCTTTGAAAGAATAAATAAAATTGATAAACCCTTAGCTAATCTTATCAAAAAAAGGAAAGAAAAGGTCCACATCCATGCAATAAGGAATTAAAAAGAAGAAGTCACAACAGATTCAACAGAAACTCAGGAGATCATTAATATCTACTATACTCTAACAAGTTGCAAAACACAGAAGAAATGCACAGATTTTTAGATGCTTATGAATTACCAAAGCTGAAGAAAGAAGATAAAAACATTTTAAACACCCTAATTACAGTCAGTGAAATTGAAAATGTAATTAAAAATTTACTAACAAAGAAAAACCCAGGTCCTGATGGATTCATTGCTGAATTTTACAAGACATTTAGAGAAGAACTACTACTTTTACTCTTAAAACTTTTCAAAGAAATTGAAAGGTAAGCTATACTTCCAAATTCAGTAATGGTAGCAAGTATCACTTTGATTCCCAAACCAGGGAAAGACACAACTAAAGAAGAAAACTACAGGCCAATCTCCGTAATGAATATAGATGCAAAAATCCTTAATAAGATAATAGCACACAGAATACAGAGGATCATCAAGAAGATCATACATCCTGACCAAGTTGGATTTATTCCAGGGATGCAAGGATGGTTCAACATATGTAATTTAATAAATGTAATACATTATATTAACAAAGTCAAGGAGAAAAACCATATGATCCCTTCAATAGATGCAGAAAAATCATTTGACAAAATTCAACACCCATTCATGATAAAAACCCTGCAAATAAAATGGAATAGATGGTCTATACCTCGATTTAATAAAGGCTATCTATGAACAACCAACAGCCAACATCATAGTAAATGGCCAAAAACTGAAAACGTTCATGTTAAAATCAGGAACAAGACAAGGATGCCCACTATCACCACTCCTCTTTTGATATACTTCTGGAAACACTAGCCACAGCAATTAGACAAGAGAAGGAAATTAAAGCAATAAAGATAGGAAAGGAAGAATTTAAAATGTCATTATTTGCTGATGATATGATACTCTACATTGAAGACCCAAAAAACTCCACCAAAGACTTCTACACTTAACTGACAGATTCATTAGAGTAGCTGGATACAAGGTGAATACCCAAAATCAATAGCCTTCTTGTACACAAATAACAGACTCACTGAGAGAGAAATTAGGGAAACAATTCCTTTCACAATAGGGTCCAAAAAATGAAGTATCTAGGAATTAATCTAACAAAAGTATCAAAAGAACTCGACTCTGAAAACTAGAGCACTTTGAAAAAAAGAGAGCAAAGAAGATATAAAAAAATTTAAAGATATCCCCTGCTCCTGGGTAGGAAGAATCAACATAGTGAAAATAGCCATACTACCAAAACTGTTGTACATATTCAATACAATGCCAACTGACATTCCAACACTATTTTTCACAGAACTAGAAAAAATATTCCAAAAATTTATTTGGAACCATAAGAGACTTAGAATAACAAAAGCTATCCTAGGCAACAGACACATGGCAGTGGGTATAACAATTCCCAATTTAAATCTATACTACAAAGCCACTGTGATAAAAACAGCATGATACTGGCAATGAAACAGATATGAGGATCAGTGGAACCTATTGGAAGACACACACACAAAAAAACACAAACCAAACCAAAACAAAACAAAACAAAAACTCCAGATGTACTCAGGTACCTCACCTTTGACAAAGGAGCTGATCATCCTCAGTGGAGGAAAGACAGCCTCTTTAATAAATGGTGTTGGAAAAATTGGATTTCAAAGAACCAAAAATTAAAACTGGAACCCTTTCTTTCACCATGCACTAAATTAAAATCCAAGTGGATTAAAGATCTAAATGTTAAAACAGAAACACTAAACTTGCTGGAAGATAAATTAGGCAGAAATCTTGAAGACATTGGCTTAGAAAAAGATTTTATGAAAAAATCCTCAGCAGCAAAGGAACTAGCAGATAGAATCAACAACTGGGATCTCATCTTATTAAAAGGCTTCTGCACTGCAAAAGAAACCATCAATAGAACTAAGAGACAACCTACACTGTGGGAAAAATTTTTACTAGCTGCTCCTCAGACAAAAGACTATTATCCAGAATATATAAAGAACCATAACAATCATCCCCCAAATATAAAGACCCAATTCAAAAATGGGCATCTGAAATGAGCAGACATTTCTTAGAGAAAGAAGTAAAAACATCAAGTGAATATATGAAAAATTGTTCAACATCACTGGTTTTTCGAGAGATGCAGTTGAAAATAACACTGAGGTTCCACCTCACCTCACAAAGAATGGCTGCTGTCAAGAGATCATAAAATAACAAATGTTGGCGGGGATGTGGGGAGAAAGAAACCCTTCTCCATTGGTTGTGGGAGTGCAGACTGGTGCAACCACTGTGGAAATCAATATGGAGATACCTCAAAGATCTGGGACTAGAGATTCCATTTGATCTAGCCATCCCTCTGCTAGGTATCTTTCCAAAAGAATTAAAGAATCATATCACAGTCATATATACATACCTATGTTTATAGCGGCACAGTTTGTGATAGCTAAAACTTGGAAACAGCCCATTTGTGCATCAGTTGGAAACTGGATAAAGAAGATGTGGTTTTTGTATGACATGGAATACTACTCAGCCATAAAGAATGAGAAATTAGTGCCAGAGATTTAGCTCAGTGGTTCAGTGGCCTGCCTTGCAAGCACAAGGACCCAAGTTCAATCCCCAATACCAAAAAAAAAAAAAAAAGAAGAATAAATTAGATCCATTTATAGGAAAATTGACATATATTGAGGATATACTCCTAAGTGAAATGAATAAGGTGTATATGTGTAAATACTGAATAGTTTCTCTGGTGTGAATAAACTGTACTAGTACATAAGATCCTAATGAGATAACTGACATTGTGAAATGGGAAGAAATGGGCTAAAGGCGTAGGGAAAGTGGGAAAGGTAGGGAAAAGGTAATAAGGGAAAACAAAAAAATGTGAGAAAATGAAAAGTTGGAAATAAAGTGTTTGCAACTGGGGAGGGGAGGAGGGGCGAAGGGAGGGCAGGGACAAGAGGAAAAATGAGAACCAAGAGCTGTCATGTAAAGGTACAAGATCCCAATAGTGAATGTAACTCTACTGTACTCCTAAAATGTACTGATAAACTCAATTAAAAAATGGAATACTACTCAGCCATAAAGAATGAGAAATTAGACTCATTTGTAGGAAAATGGATACATATTTACATATTGAGGATGTACTCCTAAGTGAAATACATGAGTCACACATGTGTAAATACTGAATATTTTTTCTGGTGTGTATAAACTGTATTAGTACATAAAATCCTAATGAGATAACTGACATTGTGAAATGGGAAGTAAAGGTCTAAAGCTGTAGGGAAATTGGGAAGGGTAGGGGATAGGTAATAAGGGAAAAATATGAGAAAATGAAAATATGGAAATAAAGTGTTTGTAATGGGGGAGGGGGAGGGGTGAATGGAGAGCAGGGACAAGGGGTAAAAATGAGAACCAAGACCACCTATCATGTAAAGGTACAAGATCCCAATATTGATTGTAACTGTACTATATACCTAAAATGTGCCAATAAACTAAAAAAAAAGGACACATAGTATTTTTTGAGATCTTTTATGTATGTTGTATACTTGTAATGTTTTTTGCTTCATTTCAAAAACATATTTTCTTTTCTTTTCTTTTTTTGAAGGGGTACCAGGGATCAAACTTGGGCCCTTGTGCTTGCAAGGCATGTGCTGGAACCACTGAGGTAAGTCCCCTGTGCTCTAAAATATATTTTTAATATTCATGCTTTATTTTCTTGCTTGTATTTAAAATATATTTTAACTGACATGGGAATACAAAAACTGTGCATATGAGAGGTACTATGTAACATTTTCATATATATAGATGTGTTGTATAATGTTTGAAAGACATTATACACATCTGTCTCTTAAACTTTTACAATTTCTTCCGGAAAAAACTTTACAACTCCATTCTCCCAGCTTTCTCTAATTGACAGTGGAGTATTGTTGTTTATAGTCCCCTTACTCTCCAACAGGGCACCAGAGTGAAGGGCTATGGATGAACTAGAAGAACATGTAGTAATGGAAATCAGCCATGTGCATAATACTGTATTATAACTTTCATGTGTGGATTTTATAAAGTTGATTTCATAAAATTGAGAGAAGACTGGTGATTGCCAGAGGCTGACAAAGACCTGTGGAAATGATCAGCAAGGAATACAAAGTTACAGGCAGAGATTAAAAAAAAAAAAAAGTGAAGCAATGAGTGGTTCAGCACCAAGGCTGCAGGTAATTATTGCGTTATGCATCCTTAAACTGTTCTGAATGGATGTGAAGTGTTTGTTCCACAAAAATTATAGCATTATGTTATATGCATTAAACAGTGAATTTTATCTGACAGTTTAAAAATAATAAAACTTGTTCCCCTTCCCACTTGAAAATGATCTATCTCCAAGGTTCCTATTGTCTTAGCAATGTTCCATTAATGCCTGGAATCCACAGCTTAAGCAAGTAAGGTTTATTATGGCTCACAGTTTGTAGATGTTTCAGTCCACTCATCTGGCTCCAAGGCAGAACCAACATGGTGGAAGGATCTGAGAAGAGAAAAGCAGGAAGAGTTCAAGGGACAAAATTGGAAGATTTACCCTTTCAAGGTCCTGCCCACAGTGACCCCCACCTCTTCCAAGCAGAGCCTAAGAGCAAGTTAGCCACGTTGCCTCCATAATCCAATCACATTTCAAAAGCCCTACCTTTGAGCTCATGAAGCTTAGGGGGACATCCAGATGTAAACCACAATTATGGGGCATATTACTTTCATTTTACTCTTCAATTTATTTAAAGAGATGGAGGAAGAGTAAGGGAAGGAAGGAGATATAAAAAATGTGTGTGTATGTGTACCAACTCTTCATGATGAATGCAATCATTGTATATTACAAACCTTTAGTAATAAAATAATTTTTAAAAAACTAAAAAATAAGACTAAAATTGAAAAACAAGAAAAATAATAAAATGCCTCTATTCTTCATAACAGAGTGTGTACTATGTGATCCATAAAACCTCCAAAGTTTTGAGGGCCATTCAACACAGTAGATTGTTTCTGTGACTTAATTAGGAACTCTGACAATTCAAACCCTGAGATGCTAGAAAGTATAAATTCACCATGTGTCCCTCCACTAGAATGATCTGATCTCAGCCTCTCTGAAAACATAAGGGGGCCTCATAGGCACAGATCATGGAGGAGAAATGCCACTGGAGAGAATCCTGTGTACTATTGAAGGCAGATGATATAAGAAGGAGAAGAGGAGACAAGGTGGGTAACGGGCTGTCTCTCTACCACTGTGCACATGGAAAGTTTACCAATCAATACAGTAAACTGTTTTTAAATACACTAAAGCCTGGAATGATGTGAAGTCCTACATGTAATTTAGCTGAGTGCATGCACATGCACGTGCCTTCTCCTGGCGCCTTTGTGTTTTAACACATGAAAACTTCTGCTGTGTTTTTCAGTAATTGGCATATATGTAATAAAATGGATTATACAGCCGACATGTCCATGACACAGACACAAAGAAACTACTTTCTCTTCTCTCTACATTTATGTGTCATTTGTGAAAGGAATGAAAATGTAAGCAGGAACACACCAAGCATCTTCGTGACATGCCAATTAAGGACATTTATTGTGTCAGAAGAAGGGTCCTTTCAAAGTTTAACAAAGTTTTTTTTTTATTTTTGATGTCTTCTCTTTGCCAAAGTATACCAAATCAGATGTGAAGTACATCTCAACATTTCTCTCCAAACACACATGTACAATTACCTAAAGACAAAATCAAAATGTCCTGCTACAAAAATAACAAAAGAGTAACTCCAGGACACAAGAAATAATGTTATGAAGATTATTGTTATGATTAATAGTAATGATGATTTAATTTCCTTTCCCTCTGATTTTATACACATTAACTCCATATAGAGCACCCCTTATCTCTATAATATTCAATGTATTTGTTGTAAGCACAAGTCATCATTAATTATGCTCTCTCACAGAGATATTAAATACCTGCCTGACATCTCAAAAATAAAAGAGTTAAAAATTAAACTGAAAGTTACTGTCCAACACACTAACATTTTTAATTGTTGCCCAGTTCACAGAATGATGTAAACAGAGGTTCAGAGATTTAACTACAGTTGCATATAAAATATATATATTTTAACTAACTCATCTCCAAAATGGAATTGACATCAAGACCTGATATGACCCCATTGGAGATTTTATGAAGTAAATGCAAAGATGGAGAAGGATGGGAAAAGTTGAAACAATATCCAACAGCAGTATGAAGAGAGAAATTCATACTGAATTTTTAAGTGTATACACTTCCTGTAAAATATGCCTGTGACCTATGTAAGTCCTTTCTATAGTGGACACACCTGTGCTCTGTGATCAATCAGGAGCCACAGTCCCCACCCCCAAATACCACAGTTAGCGAGGCTTCTTTTCAACAGTGACAGGGAAGTGAAATGGATATTTGAGTTAATTATAAAAACTGCCAGGCTTCCCTTGATATCATGCCCTGTGTCTGTAATCGCACAGCCTAGTGAAAATATGGCTTCACTCTTCATTGCCTAACATCATTCTGTGTGTTACATTGAAATGATGGGCTCTTTATTTTTCTATAAGATGGTAATAAGGTGAGACCTTATAGCTACAAGAAGAGAAAGCATATGAAATGAAGAAAAGCAAGAGCCGTGCACCCCCAACCTACTCAGCATGAAGCAGCCATAAGAAGATGAAACTTCATCCCCTCCACATCTCTTAGGAAGGAGAGGTCAAAGACTTGGAAGGGTAAAGTAAAATAGGATAGAAAAAATAAGCATAGATGGAAGACAAGGAAAGTCATAATTTAATAATTGCAATATTAAGAATATTGCAACTACAGGATATAAAGTTACCAAAAGTTGTGAATATCAGTATTCTCTAGCTTTATTTATGCTTATTGTGTTAAGATATATGTAATAAAATATACCATTTCAAACATTTTTAGGTGCACCAATGGGTAACATTAACTATAATTTTGGTTTTGTGTAACCATCATTATAATCAATCTCCAAAAATTGTACCATCCCAGATGAAGTTTACAATTATGAAGAACCTTATTCCCAACATTTCCCAACTAGTCACAATTCTGTTCTGAAACATGATAAATTGCACACATTGAATTTCTGAAATAAAGTGAAGGAGTGAGTATTTGCAGGTGAGTTTTGAGTCTTCTGCTTTATCATATTTTCTAAATTACATTCCAAATAGATGCTATATGTCCTGGGATTAGGCTCTCCAACTGTGGAGCCCCTTCAGGGTGTTAAGAATATCCCTGTTCCTCAGGCTGTAGATGAAGGGATTCAGCATTGGGGTGACCACAGTGTACATCAGTGAGGCCACCTCGCCCTTGCTGGGAGAGTATGACAAGGCTGAACCAAGATACGTTCCAAGGCCTGTTCCATAAAATAAGCAAACAACTGACAAGTGAGAACCACAGGTAGAAAAGGCTTTGCACCTCCCTCCCAATGAGGGGATTTTCAGAAGAGAGGAAATAATCTTATAGTAAGAAAAAACAGTCCCTGACATGGGAATGAAGCCAAATATGATACCAAAAATATAGAGGAGTACAGTTATGATTAAAGTATCAGAACATGAAAGGTCAAGGAGTTGAGAAGGGTCACAAAAGAAACTAGCAATTCCCACATCTTTGAAACAGGTAATTTGTAAAGCAATTAAATTGTGCAGCAGGGACTCCAGAAGGCCAACAAAGACAGAGAGCAAAACTAACAAGACACAGAGGCGAGGGTTCATAATGGTTGTGTAATGCAGTGGGTGGCAGATGGCCACAAACCGGTCATAGGCCATCACAGTCAGAAGCATGTCATCCATACATGCAAATAAGATGAAAAAAGACATCTGTGTCAGGCAGCCAGCATAGGAGATGACCCTTCTGTGAGTTAGGATGTCCACAATCAGCTTTGGGACAGTGGAAGAGGTTAAACAGATGTCAGCAAAGGACAGGTTAGAGAGGAAGAAGTACATGGGTGTGTGGAGATGGGAGTCAGAACTGATGGCCAGGATGATGAGAAGGTTCCCGAGCACTGTGACCAGGTAAATGGACAGGAAGAGTCCAAAGAGGATGGGCTGCAGGTGTCGATCCTCTGAGAAGCCCAGGAGATGGAATTCTGAGACTCTTGTTAGATTTTTGTGCTCCCATAGTGTTGGCCACATTTTCAAAAAATATTCATTGGAAAAATGAAACCAATAATAGCACACAAAATGGAGTATATTTTAGTTATTCAAGTATTCACAAACAAGTAGTTAAGCATGAGTTCCAAAACCTTCATCAGCATTGCTCTCCCGCGATAAACTCCAGAATCAAGGAATCAGTGTGGAGTGGTCTGTTTTACACCTCTTCTGTACACTCCTATGTTACACACACTCTTGCACAGTGTAAGCAGATCAAGGACTTAGAGTTCAGAAGACTTGATCCCAGTAAAATACCACCAACATTCTGTTTTACAAATAAATAAAATCTGTAGATAATAGTTAACACATCCTCATACTAACAAATTTGATTCTATTTTGGAAAAAGTTTAAATCATTCAACTTTTACTATTTTATTCTTTGCAGTACAAAGTCTTTTGTCTTATATTGCCTACAAAGATGATAAAACCTAGGACTGCATTATCTGAAAATTAATTTTTTAAATTTTTCATAGCCAAAACACATTGTGTTCAGACGTTTGCCTCTGATAAATTTTCATCATTTTGGATTGTCTAATTTTCATTTTTCTAGGATGGAAGAGCTCACTCAGCCTTTGTTTTCACATAAACTATTTGATGAACTGGAGTTTATCAAAGTAATTGGGTAAATTAGAGTTCACCTTGTCGTTGGTGAATTCAGATTCATATATAGTAGGTATAAACACATGCACATAAACTTAGGACATACTGACCACAAATGTAGGTAAGTGCATACAGCACCTGTCAAAAATTAACAAATAATAAGAAGCATCATTGACATTTCAAATTTTATACCAGTTTACTATATAATACAATATCACTAACATATCTGCTATGCAAATATTGCTCTATTGATCCTATAATCTACAGCAACTTGGAAAAGTTCTTTACTTTGATCTTACACCCTATTGAATGCAGCTGAAGACACAGGAAACAAAGTCCCCAGGTCCTCGCTGTGTCTAGCCTTTCCTAGTTCTAACCTACAGACTTTCTCATCAATCTTTCTTGATACATAAAATTTCTATCTTATTGCAGCTATGCAAAGGAGCATGGGGCACATGTTTTGGTCAGGTCACACTGTGATTTAATTGGAAATAACACCTTAAAAGTTACAGCATGAAATAATATAAAAGCACCTTAAAACTCAGCTGCAATAGAAAAAGTTACACCATTTTGTAAACACAATTGTGAAAAATGTAATCCCATTTTATCTGTAAAACGAGCAACAGAATTACCTACCTTATATGTCTGCTGTAGGAAAATCTTTTAAAAATCATTAATTTGCATAACTGCTGATTCTGTTTTAGTATTATGCATAGGTGAGAATATTTAGAAATGTCCAGATACTCTGGATTTCAATCAGTAAATTTAATAAAAATATTTACATTTCTAGATTTTGTCTTATTTTTTTGAGCAAGTGTAGAAAACCACTCTCTTAGAACACTTGCTGGCATTTACAAAAGGCCAAATTAATATGATATTTATAGATATTAATATGTAAATATTTAATAATATTATTTACAGATATGAACAAATAACTAAGAAAGCTGAGTATTTCATCATAGTTGGATAATCCTGCTTTCTTGTATTCAAAGGAGTCTGTTGGCAAGAATTTAATGGGTGGATTTTTCTGTTGGTATTCCCAGACCAATGTTGATTTGTGAATCCACAAGCAGTTTTCTTAAAACTTACCCTCAAAGTATCTAAAATTAATGTAAGAGAAAAAAAAACACCTTTGTCCCCAAAATAGATTAGGTTACAATCACAAGTGATTTTCAGTCTCCTTTAACTAATACACAGCATTATCTGAGAGAGAGAGAGAGAGAGAGAGAGAGACCTCATTTAACCTGTAAGTTTATTTTTATGACAATCTTTTCCAAATTTTTGTGGCTCTCTTCCTGTCAGTGAAGTAAAAGGCTGCATATAAGATATTGATGGAGGATATATTTCTGATTTCCAAAAATTCATGCTGGTAAAATTTCAAATAAAAATCAGTCAGTTGCATCCCTTTATTCTTCAGAAATATTTCCAAAATATCCATGCACTCTGTCCAGTGATGAGCTCTGTATGCTACCACACAAAGAAATTTTATCCTCATATGGTTAATAATATTTTCAGTTTGTTCCAGTGCTGCATCTTGTAACAAGGGAAAATCCTGAGGAAATGAATATTTAGTCTAGTGTCACTGATGTGAAAATAGGCAGAGTGCGTATGAAACTCTCCTCTCCCCTGTGCTCACACTGTTTGAAAACAGCAGGAATAACATTCCTTTCCTCATGTGTGGCAACTTAAGGAAATGTGGGAATTATTTCCTCATTGTGAGAATTTGTTTTCAAAATAAATAACTAAATCTTAAGCAAGTAGGAGCTATAGTGATAAATATTGTAATCTGTATTCAAATGGCAATGGTTCCTCGAATGATGTAAAGTTCTGTACTATATCTCAGCCTGAGTCATACATTCACCTACTTGCTATTCTTTGTGCCTTTTTAAACCAAAAATATCTCTTCTGTGTCCTTTGAGTATTGACATAGATGCAATTAAATCAATTGTAGGGGCCACATGCCAATGACATGGACACAAACAAGCTATTTTTATCATGTTCTCCATGTAAGGACATTTGTGAAAAGAACAAACTTTCAGACAAGAATACACCAAGCATCTTCACATCTAGCTGAATAAGGACAGTTATCCTAACTTTGAAAAAGTCCTTTAATTGTTTAACAGAGGTTTTAACTTTAGATGCATCTTCCATGCCAAACAATATGCATACTCTGAGGAATTAGATATAAAAGAAAGTACATTATTCCTCTCTAAACATATGTATATATTTACAAAAGCACAAAATAAAATGTCTTGCAACAAGAATAGAAGAATAACATCATGTCAAAGGACATAACTGGTATAACGACTATTTTTATCACTAATAACAATGATGGCTATGATTTCTTTTGCTACAATTTTATACACATCAACCCCAAGTAGAACACTCCTTATCTGCATAATCTTCAATGTACTCCTTCAACTATAAATCAACACTAATGACAATGCTGTCTTAGAGATATCACATGCCTGCCCTGAATCCCAGCAAAAATAAGGAGCCAAAATGGTTAAAAATAAATGAAAATATCCTGCCCAATGCACTAAAATTTTTCTATGTTTCCAAACCCACAGAAAGACATAAATGTAGGGAAACATTTCATAAACTCAGGTGTATCTGAGATACATTTTGGAATGAAACCAAGACATGATAATTCACCATTTGAGACTTGTGAAATAATTGCATGTGTGGGAAGGGTGTGAGGAGCTGCAAAGATATCCTGCAGTGGTGGAAGAAGAGAAATCTGTGTTGAATGGTCAAGGGGGGGCACTCAGAGATCTTGGCCTGTCATCTGTTTCTGTCTATGTTGGAAGCAGCTGGGGACATTCACTGCTCTGCTCTGTGAGCAAACATGAACATCCCAAAGCAAGAGAAAATTAGTGAGGAGTCTATTTCTGAAGTGACAGAGGAGATAAATATCTTCTTGTGTGAAGAGGATAAGCTGCCAGAATTGTTTCTCTATTATGTCCTTTGTCTCTAACCACACAGCCCATTTCACTTGACTCATATATCTTCCTATCAGCCTACTGTAACATCAATTAAGATGAATGTCTCTACCATTTTATACAGGCAACAATAATGTGGACAATTATACCTTCTAGAAAACAAACCACATGAAATAATAGAAGCTACAAACAAATAATACCTCAGTTCCTAAGTTATGAGAAGCCCTGAAAACAAGTTCATGATGTTATGGTTACTATCCTCCTCTCCTACATTCTCATAATCACCTTCCTAGTCAGGTTAGAGTGATTAGGGGTCACTGAAAAAGACACATTTTTCTCCTTCCATGAGTAAGACATCCTCGGAAAGGGGAAACAGGATGCATAGAAAACAAATTTGAAATAATTCTATTTCCCCCATTAAAATGTAAATCACAAAATTTTCATTCCTTATAGCTGATTTTTTTTTTATATTTGTACCTTCCTACTGGCCACCCAAACTGTCATGTTTATCCTCATTTTGAGGGAACAATACTTGCGAGGATCCTTCCATGTCAATCAGGTCAATCAGCACTTACTGAATGATGCTGTTTCTCTGCTGGGTCACAGTCAAGGAGACAACACCCAAAGATGTTCCTATGTCTGCTGCCCAATGAATCCTGTTTCTATCTTCAGAAATGAAATTAATACAGTCAGATATGAGCTTCCTGATGCAGAAAACTGGGGGACTGGAACCTGGTATAGAGGTCACTGGACTGGAGTCATTAAAGTGAAGAGGTGAAGGTAAACAGTGATTATTGACTTCTTTATGACTTTGGAGGCTCAATGCACACAGCTGATAATTAGTCAGGTTGGTCCATGCCATCCCAGTCTCTAAGAGATTTGTAGTGTTATGGTAAGAAGAAAAATAAAAATAAATGCCCATAAGAGATTTGAGAATTGTGATCTCCTCTGCCATACTTAGTCGCCCAGAACTGCTTTTGCTATTCTAGGTCTTTTCTTGTTCCAAGTGAATTTTAGGAATATTTTCTCTGCTTACATGAGGTGTGTTAGTGATATTTTATTTGGGATTGCATTAAGTTTGTAAACAATTCTGGGAGTATGGCTATTGTCACTAGGTTGGTTCTTTCCACCCAAGAGTGAGCAATATCTGTCCATTTTCTAATATCCCATTCATCTCCTTTTTCAGAGTAGCTTAGGTTTCAGTGTAAAGATCTTTAAATTCCTTTGTTAGATTGGTATTTCATTTCATATGCTATTGTGAAAGGTGTGGTTTCTCAAATTTATCTCTCAGTATATTTGTTCTTTGTGTACAGGAATGCTATTGATTATTGAGTGATGACTTTGGATCTAGTTACATGACAAAATTTGGTTATTAAATTTAGAGGTCTTTTGGTGGAGGATCGGGGTCTTCTATGTAGAGCATCGTGTCATTTGCAAACAATGATAATTTAACTTATTCCCTTCCAATCTTTATTCCTTT